AAAAACATAATAATAATAAAAGAAAATAAAAAAAGTGATTAAAAAAAATAAAGAAAAAAAAATGTAACACCAACCCTGCCGCCCCGCCATCTGGTTGCCATTCTCCCATAGGGGAGGGTTAGACGGGGATGAGGGGGCATTGAGTAACCTGGCCTTGGCAGCCCTGGACACAATGTTGTTTTTCCCGTCACTTTCTGTCCTGGTGATAATGGTCACAGAGGGTGAATCTCACAACAAGGACACAGAGAGCGAGAAAAGCTTGTGTGAGGTGAATGAATGAGAGATCAGTGCAGCGCACATCCCTCCTCCTCCTCATCACCGGGGATACAATGTAACAGGTTTTTATATCGCTGCTGATTCCATTTCTGCTTTTTATAAGAATGACTGAAATACATGAAAGACATTAGGATACATTAGTTGCAGTTTTACATTTTCATGAACTTTTTTTCAGCGCTCTCTGGAACCTCTGAGGTTCCTCTCTGATAATCTGAATTCCTTATTTCATCTCGCACATCTTTATTTATAATTGTCTGTTACAGTCTTACAGTCGTCGTCTTTTATTCATATGGCTGATATAAACATTTTCTTAAAGAAACTCTTTGCTTTACCTGCGTAACACGTCTTAGCTGGAGTTGGGTTTTCATTTGCTTGTTACTCACCTAATGTTCATTCGAAACTAAATGTCCACCTAGAACTCCCCTGTCCACAATCCCCCTGTTTGAGTTCACAGCAGAAAGGATGGAGGGAGCTCCTCATAATGGGCACAGCGGGTGTACAGACCCAGGAACTCAGCACAGGGATGGTGGGAGCTCCTCATAATGGGCACAGCGGGTGTACAGACCCGGGAACTCAGCACAGGGGTGGTGGGGGCCCCTCATAATAGGCACAGCGGGTGTACAGACCCGGGAACTCAGCACAGGGATGGTGGGAGCTCCTCATAATGGGCACAGCGGGTGTACAGACCCGGGAACTCAGTACTGAGATGTCACCAATAGAGGCAGAAAAAACTTTCCGACCTCCACCAAATCCTGAAATATTGTTGTGTGTGGAGTGTAACTTTAACCTACTAATAGAGGCATGCACAATGCTGTGAGCTCCCCATGATACATCTGTGTCCGTGCTCACCCTTGATGTTGTAGAATGAAGATGGCTCTTCAGCATCACAACAAACCTCTTATGAATATATCTCCCCCATGGCTCTATTATATCCCACGTCACGCTGCGCCCAGTCGCCCTCATACATTGTTAAATTACCTTGAATGGGCAGGAATAATCAGCGAAGGGTTCCTTTCATTACATGTAGATGACACAGTTGTCATTATGTGTTTTCTCTGTTTATGGGTCAGATGTATAAAGTAGCGATTTGTGTCATTAAGAAGCGCTGGCATTATTCGATATTTATTTTGGAGATCACACAGGGATTTGGGTTCGTGACATGAGGTCATTGATTTGGAACTATCCATCATTACCTGGTACTATGTGGATATGGACTCTGCACACCATTCAGCTTCAAAGTATCGTCATAGTATTGACATTGTTGCAGCATAATGTTACATAGTATTTGAGGTTGAATAAAGACGCATGTCCATCAAGTTCAACCTGTTGTGTGTATGTGTATGATCCTACTGTGTAGTACCGTGTTTCCCCGAAAATAAGGCACTGTCTTATATTTTTTGGGGGCTCAAAAAAACACACCCTAGGTCTTATTTTATTATGTACAACAATCCAAAGTTAACGCAAATCCAAATTAAATTATCCAAAATGGCAAAGTTAAGAATATGGTGATCGAGATGCCGTACCTTTCCAGGAGCAATTTGGTAACCAATCGCTGGCCAGAATGAGCGAAACACGCTTTCACTATCAATTCCTCACAGGCGGAGCGCATTTGGTATGACTCCGCCTGTGGCAGGAGGCGGGGCTATAGAGGAAGCATCGGCTTATGCGGCTCTGCTCCCTCCGCTGCCGCCTCGCTTCCTCTAGCGCTGGCTTAGTTGGCACCGCTGATTCTCTCCCGCGGCTCTTCAAGTCCCACTTATGCCACCGCCGGCCCTGGGAATGGTCACAGCTAGGTCTTATTTTCTGGGTAGGTCTTATATTTGAGCAATTCCCAAAAATAGTACTTGGTCTTATTTTCGGGGAAACAGGGTATGTATAGGTCCCTGTTTGTTCTCATTCTTAAAAGTACTTGTACCCCTGTATATTACCTGTACCCCTGTATATTACCTGTACCCCTGTATATTACGGTCTCGGAGGTAATCGTCCAATCGTCTCTTGAATGATGCGACACTCTCAGCCGAAATCACAGAATGTGGCAGGGAGTTCCAGACCCTGACTCATCTAACTGAGAAGAAACCCCTTCTCCCCTTGTGCTGAAATATTTTCTCCACTAATTTTAGGTGGTGGCCCCTCGTCCTCGTCATGGAGTTCATTGTAAAGAGTTTGCTGCTAATGTTGCTATCCCCGGTAAACATTTTGTACATGAAAATCATGTCCCCCCCTTAATCTCCGTACTTCCAGTGAGAACATATTTAAATTCAGTAGCCTGTTCTCATAGCTCAGGTCCTCTATCTCCTGTCCCCTAATGTGGCATGCAAGGTGTGGGAACCACGCAGGGCCCCTTTGCACTTTGCATGCATGGTTCCAAAACGTTGCATTTCACATTCTGCTGCAACAATGCCAACAAAGACAATATTTTGAAGCAGAATGGTGTGCGGAGTACATATCTTCTACTGCCTTGTTTCTCAACTGGTGGGTCGTGACCCAAAAGTGGGTCGCGACCCCATATTCAGTGGTTCGCCACGTGCCTTCCACTTTTCTAGGGGGAGGCTGAGGGGCTTCTCACCTATCAGTTCTTGCGCCAAACAGCAATTCAAAATATGCTGGACGGTGCTGAGTGTCAGCTTGAGTTGGGATGGACTGGGGCTATGGCTGTGAGGGAGCTACATCTATACGTACAGCTCCCTCATGTGTCCAGTAAAGGTTGCTTGACCAGAGTGATGTCACACTCAGTGTCACACAGTGATGTCACATTCTGGCTCCCGGCACCTCTACAGGGCATGCAAAGGGAGGTGTACAAGCATTGCATATATGGATGGAGCTCTGACACAGCACAGCAGCCCACACTGGACATCTGGTTGAGGATAAACTCCAGTTCTCGTAAGGTATGGAGACTTGATCTTTTGAATGGCTCCCCAAACGCACCTCCCACCCACAGTTTGATTGCCCGCACTGGAACGTGTGATACCGCAATGCCGTGCATTCCATTGCAGTGCGACTTGGGTCGCGACTTAATACACAAGGACAAATGTGGGTCCTGAGGTTACACAGGTCACTGTGTACGTGGTGGTTCCATCCACCAGGTGATCCAGCACCCAATGACCTTGGTATGAAGGTGTATATCAGTATAGTGTGTGTAGGAGATATAACTAAGCATGATGCACCAAAACACATCGTGGTAGCTGCACCCTTTCATTTCCCATGGATCCTCCAAGCATGTCCACACACCAGAAAACCTGCCCGACCCTTTCTTCCCAATGCAACCCATCTCAGCGCATGTGCTTTCTGATGCCTGCATTGTGCTGCACTGAGGGTTATGTGTGTTGTTTATTGTATGGATGGCCCCTGGGGGCCCATAAACATAAAACAGGAGCACACTAAAGGCACAAGCAGTCCATCAATGTGCATTAGGTGAAGATACATGGTAAGGTGTGAAGTCAGCCGAGTTATCCTTTATAGCTCCTCCCTTAGTGTCACCCTCAGAGTAAAATGTTTACCGGCAACCCTACTCCGGGGTCTTCACTCATAAAGAGTCTATACTTATGTCGGCCCAAGCTATCCAGGGAAGTACAGCCCCAGCCATCCAGAGGAGTACAGCCCCAGCTATCCAGAGGAGTACAGCCCCAGCTATCCACGGTACAGCCCCAGTCATCCAGAGGAGTACAGCCCCAGCTATCCACAGTACAGCCCCAGCCATCCAAAGGAGTACAGCCCCAGCCATCCACAGTACAGCTCCAGCCATCCAGAGGACAGCTCCAGCCATCCACAGTACAGCCCCAGGCATCCAGGGAGTACATCCCCAGCTATTCAGAAGAGTACACCCCCCAACCATCCAGAAGAGCACAACCCCAGCCATCCAGACAAGTACAGCCCCAGCCATCCAGAGGAGTACAACCCCAGCCATCCAGAGGAGTACAACCCCAGCCATCCAGAAGAGTACAGCCCCAGTCATCCAGACAAGTACAGCCCCAGTCATCCAGACAAGTACAGCCCCAGCCATCCAGAGGAGTACAACCCCAGCCATCCAGAGGAGTACAACCCCAGCCATCCAGGAGGAGTACAGCCCCAGCCATCCAGAGGAGTACAGTCCCAGGCATTTCCTTTATTTGGAGAAATGTGTGATCTGCCCATGCTGACCTCTCTCTGAAAATGCTATTTATTTGGCAGAACAAGTATGCAGCAACAGAATCCCAAAAAGATCTGCGTGATTGTTGTAGTATTGAAGCCAATGTATCGGCATTTTCAGAAGGAGAGCTCAGCAATAGGCCGCCTCCACCCATCTTTCTCGCATGACATGTTCCCTTTAAAGGTGTCTGGTGGCTACTAAACTGGAATATTGACTCCTGAATTCGGAGAGGAGGATCAGTTTTCTCCCCACTTTGGTAAATAAGCCGTTGTGGGCCGTCTGTTATCGGCTGAATTTGTGGAAGGGATGGCGCTCTGTGTGGCCAGTTGATGTTCCTTATAACAGATCATATAATGTCTGTGTCTGTCGGAGAAGAGATTCTATATAGGACGGTAGTGGAAGTATTCTGATCCTGCAGCATCAACGTCAGCTGAGTAATGGCGGTAATGTGGCTGGAGGGGGATGGTGAGTGACACGCCACAGGTGAGCAGAGTGCTACTTCCATATTTTTGATGGTTATGGATCTGCAGATAAACCTTCGTCCTATGGACTGTGCAGGAGATGTGAAGTGGAACTGCTCCTGTACAGTAATGGCTGCTGATCATGTCAGGCCCCTGTGCCCCGTCAATGGGCTGCCAGTCATTGCCCCCATCGATTGGCTGCTGCTCATATCAGGCCCCTGTGCCCCGTCAATGGGCTGCTGCTCATATCAGGCCCCTGTACCTCATCAATGGGCTGCTGCTCATATCAGGCCCCTGTACCTCATCAATGGGCTGCTGCTCATATCAGGCCCCTGTACCTTATTATTGGCCTCTGGTCATTTTAGGGCTCTGTACTCCATTGAAGGCCTGCCGGTCATTTCAGACCCCTGTACCCAATCAATGAGCTGCCAATCATTTTGGACCCTTTAACCCATTAAAATGCTGCCAATCATGTTAGGCCCCTGTACCCCATCATTGGCCTGCCAAGCATTTCAGGATTATGTACCCAATTAATGGACAGCCAATCATGTCAGGCCCCTGTACCCCGTCAATGGGCTGCTAGTCATTACCGGTCCCTGTACGCTATGAATGGGCTTCCGATCATTTCAGGTTCCTTTACCCCATTGATGTGCTGCCAATCGATTCAGGCCCCTGTACCCCATCATTGGCCTGCCAAGCATTTCAGGATTCTGTACCCTATCAATGGACAGCCAATCATGTCAGGCCCCTATACTTTATCCATGGGTAGCCAGTTATGTCAGGCCCCTGTACCCCATCAATGGGCTGCTGATCATTTTAGGCCCCAGTTCAGCACTGGCGTTGTGTATCCCTTTGGTAGTTCTGATTTCATTGCACTCAGAGGTCCACTGAACCAGAATAATAGTTACAGTATCACATTGTAACGTTTTGCCCCCCCGGAATTATAATTTGTCAACTGCAGTATAAATCCCCGGGGCCCTGGTACTGAATCTGATCGGGGGAACCTCGTATCCAAAAGTTTTGATTCTCCCCCAGCAGCTAAACTCTCAAAAGAGTCCTTGTGAAGATAAGAGGAGGGAGAGGGTAAGGAAAATACTGCACTCTGCAGAGTTTAGCCAGCAGAGCAGTCATAGTTGGGCCCCCTGAACCAAAAGGGCCCGGGGGCAGTTGCACCCTGTACACCCTCTGCAGTTATGCTCTAACCTATTAACCCTTTCTCTTCCCGAGGGCAGTTCATCCCTTCCACCGATAACAAAAGACAGGTAGATAGGAATATTTCCAGGCAGAATTAGGATTCCATAATCCAGTCCGCTCCGGGTGTTTTGCGCAGTCAGGGAATGTTCCAGGACGGGTTGGTGTCATGGTCGTCCACATCGCAGCTCTGCAAACACGGATGACTCTGCGCACGAACTGGTTAAAGAAGTGACTGTGGGCCAAACTGACTAAAGGCTGAAATTAGCATGTTTGTAGCCGCCCCCCGATGGAGGATTCGGCTGTTTGCGTTGCCGCTTTCCTGATTTATATAATGTAATATTTCACTCAGGGATTTCTGCAGGGGACGGGAGGCTCAGATAACCCGTTAACCATTGCTGTGGATCCGTGCGCTACGTTCACACAGATATCTTCCCACCGTGAGGGCTGGTGGATGTAATGAACCATTTGGATATTATTTCAGATTCAGCAGCGAGTATAAAAAAATATATTGTAAGTATCGTCTCCGCCGAACGAACAAATTCTACAAATTGTTTCCATGAAGATGAGCCAGAAATTTGTTGTTGTGAATCATACACAGAACCGCAGCTTCCTCTCATCTGTTTTCTTAAAGCTGGCCTCCTGGCAGACATAAAAGGCACAAATGATTGCAGCTCTGCATGTAGTAATATATCATTACATTTATTTTTTTCAAATGTAAGCAGTGTAAGGTCCTAAATGTGACCTGGTATCAGCCTCTTGCATTCCCTGTACAGAAGAGCTCAGACTAGGAGAGAGGGAAGCAGCACAGGATAGGAAACAGTCAGTTGTTCTGCAGTGCTTATGTACTAGCAAGGCACATGCAGATAGGAGAGAGAGCAGAAAGACAGAGCAATGAGCTCACCAATCTTCTGCTTCTCCTTCCTGTCCAATCACAGCCTGGGATAAGACCCGTAAGTGTTATTAAACTGCCCTGTGTTTGCTTAAAGCAGAACTATGAGGTCGGGGCTTTTCCCCATAGTTCTCCTTAGGGTAACGGGAGGACACAAACTAGCGTCCTCCCGTCACCCTAGGCTCAGTATACGGGAGCTGCAGCTCGCGGTATACTGAGACGCCGCAGCTGAAATGGATCCTGACAATTATGTCTGGATCCACCCAGCTGTGTGACTGACAGCTGGCTCCGCCTATCTAGATTAGGTAGGTGCAGAAGAAGAGAAGTCCTGAAGGAGTAAAAGGAGGTTGAGATATGAGAGAGGCAAGCGACTCCAGAGATTAGGTTCAGCACAGGAGAAATTCTATAGGTAAGAGGCAGTCTTCAGTGGGGAAAGGAGCTCCATAGATAAGGTGCAGCACAGGAGATATTCTATAGGTAAGAGGCGGTCTTCAGTGGGGAAAGAAGCTCCAGAGACTAGGTGCAACACAGGAGAAATTCTATAGGTAAGAGGCAGTCTTCAGTGGGGAAAGGAGCTCCATAGATAAGGTGCAGCACAGGAGATATTCTATAGGTAAGAGGCGGTCTTCAGTGGGGAAAGAAGCTCCAGAGACTAGGTGCAACACAGGAGAAATTCTATAGGTAAGAGGCAGTCTTCAGTGTGGAAAGGAGCTCCAGAGACTAGGTGCAACACAGGAGAAATTCTATAGGTAAGAGGCAGTCTTCAGTGTGGAAAGGAGCTCCAGAGACTAGGTGCAACACAGGAGAAATTCTATAGGTAAGAGGCAGTCTTCAGTGTGGAAAGGAGCTCCAGAGACTAGGTGCAACACAGGAGAAATTCTATAGGTATATAGCAGTCTTTAGGGGTGGTCAGAGAGCAGGAGGTGGCTGTGTGCAGAGCAGGAGGTTGCACTGGATGGTATCTTCTGGCAGAGCGCCTCCTGAGAGAGTGCAGTTGATGAGTATTGCACCTTTACCTGGTCATACAATAGACACGATCATTTTCACTCTCCATCCACTGTGAATTGCACATAAAATCCCGAGTATTTGCCAGAAACGAAGCAATCTGTGAACTGTACGAGTTCCATCGACACCCAGCATCTGGCCGATTGTGAGAACGACAAAAGACTGACAACTTCTGTGACATTTATGTGAAGATCAATTTCAAAATTGGAAAAAAAGCGAAAGCAATTTTGTTGAAAGCGATCGGACTTTTTCTGTTGGGATCATTTGGAGCGATTTCGATCCCACCCTCCTGGCGGCCGATCGAAAAAAACGTTGCGAAGTATGGAATGGAAGGTTCAATCAATGTATCTAATTGGCGCGTGTATTTCCAGCCTGATAGGGTGATGCGTAGATAAGAGGTCCTACACTGCCCTGCGTTTCCGTCCCACCTCTGTCCCGTGGTGCAATGACATGGGCCATGTGGTCATAGTTTGAAGCCCTGATGGCCAAACTGCAGTCTGTGGTATTTGCTGTGTGGTCCTTACGGTCTCGTTCACACCTAGGCGTATTGCATATGCGCGACCGTCGCGCGGTTTTTACCGCGATTTGCGCTAAAAAAAAAGTCACGCGACCGTCCCACCTCTGTCCCGTGGTGCAATGACATGGGCCATGTGGTCATAGTTTGAAGCCCTGATGGCCAAACTGCAGTCTGTGGTATTTGCTGTGTGGTCCTTACGGTCTCGTTCACACCTAGGCGTATTGCATATGCGCGACGGTCGCGCATATGCAATAAGCCTAGGTGGGAACGAGACCGTTGAATACAATGGGATTTATTTTTTTGAGCGTTTTGTAGAGCGTTCGTCGAGCGTAGAACGCGCTACAAAACGTTTAGGTGTGAAGGAGGGCTTACAGACCCTAGCTGTCAGTAGCGGGAGCTGTAATACCGGTAGCAGGGACCCCCCCAGCAGTTTCATGAAACAGTCTTTTGTGTGGCCCTCTGGAGCAGTTAGGGTCCACAGTTGAGGCCCTTAAGTTGACAACCACTGGTCTTCAGCAAGTCTGTCCAGTGGCCATTAACGCAGCCCCATCTTTAAAGCCCAACTCCGGGCACAAGACAACAACAAAAAACCCATGCATTGGGGCCTCCACACTGCAAGGGTTGACTGCTCCTTACAGCTAACGGTTCAGGGATAAGGAGTGATCCCTTACTCCAGGCTCCCTCCATCTGCGTGACTGGTCGACCATAGCCTCCCCTATAAGGCACTCCTAGCCACCGTCACACCCTCCATATACAGGGTTAATAGCCTTGCATTGTGTGTGATGACGCCAAGGGACTAGGTCTGCAACCAACTAATCGGTTAATCGATAACAATTGATAATGAAAATAGTTGTCAACTATTCTCCTTATCGATTATTTGTTTGGGGGAGGTGGGAGGGGGTTAGAGTGAGAGAAATTAACGGAACTAATCGATTAATCGAAAAAATAATCGGGC